AATACTCGCTTGACACAACACTTGAACGATAGGTGCCACGAGGAAAGGTATTTTCGCTGGAGTTAATGACAATAATTGAACGTGATGTTGGTCTATTATCCTGACTATTCATCATTTTTGTTACAGGATGATACATGAAAGGTATACTTGACACGAAGCTACTTGACATCAATCGGGGGTACTAGAGCCATCTAGCCCCATCCAATTTGCGCCAGAGAGTACCTATAAGACCAGGCTCGCAATAAATAGTTGACCTTTCTGTCCCAGACAACTTAGCTCGACATCACAATTCTTCCTCGCCTTGCTTGCCTCTGAACATCGAATTGCGCTTTCTCAGTCGGGCCTAAACTTGATGAACCATAGACGGCATAAGTTTGCACGTTTGAGGTCAGGTTCCCGTGGCTCAAACCACAGTTTTGGGTCCTGTTTGATAGCATGTCGCATTATATCGGCTTAATTACTACTGCAGGCACAATGGGCAACGAGACTGTTCATACTGAATGAACAGCGGGGTCGATACGTTTCCCAGATTGTAATTTGAAATGACCGCGATGATGTCCGACCAACACTGTGACCTGTCTTGCTGTGGTAAAAAGATTCCCGCAAAATAAGTTCACTTTACATCAATTAACCCCATGTCCGAAATCTAGGGTCGCAGCTGCTTTGTGAACATATCATGACTTTGCCAAGCACACAACTGGGCCATTTCCCACTTTCCGAGTCATGGCGGAATCCATTTGAAGCTGCGGCCCCAACTCGAGAGAAAAGAAAAAAAAAAATTCGAATGACTGATGTGAGGCATACTGTCTAAAAGTCGCTCAGCCCAGCGGCTCCCAAGGCGCATCGGGTCGGCAAGCCACGCGCGCAGGACGCGTCCCGGCCCGCGGAGCTGTGGGATGCCGACTCGGGGGCTGGGAAACCCCGGAATACGAGAGGCCAATGGGATTTTAAGCGGGGCCCGGCGCGCGAACGCGGGGGCCTCGGGGGCCGGGATGATGCTGAACCTTTTTATATCTTGAGCTGAATCTCAGCCCTTTCCTGTCTAGTTCAGCTGATGTTGGACGTCGATGCGATTCCATTTCCACACATCACCTTCGCGATAGCTGCCTCACTGCTCAAAGAAGCATACGCACACTTCAACACATAGTACACGTTGGATCAGGTCATCCACCTCGCCAGTTTCAAATTCGCGAGGGAAAATCTCCCCGGTTACACAGCTTCCTGCGACGTGCACGGGCCACAATCTGACCACCTCGGAAGCGGAACCAGGCCAGACCTGGTGTTGTCCCAAACTTTCACCTGACCGTTCCGAGTATCTGTCTTCAGAGGAACGAGTTCGGGCTTATTGGTTCCTGTCATTTCACTAATCAACAAAACGACTCTGAACTGCCGAATGAAGTTTTTGCCGAGAACCAAGCATGGCGATCATGGACGAAGATGGGTGCACCAACCATGACCCGCCATCACCAATTTCAGGAGAACTTGTCAGCTTCGACCCAAATGGCGACCTCTATTTACACGTTGGCGCAGGCGTTGAAGAGAAAACAAAGACTTACTTTGTGTGCTCAAAAGCGCTCGCCCGCGCGTCCACGGTGTTCAGAAAGATGCTCTACGGCGGCTTCGCTGAATCAGGGCACTCGGATGTTGACCACGGATGGACAGTGGACTTGCCCGAGGACCGGCAACAGCCCATGGAGATGATGCTGAACATCGTTCACGGTGCTTTCGAGAAGGTGCCCGAAAAGATCGAGCTCACAGAGCTGTACACGTTTCTTGTTGTTACGGAGAAATACGACGCGACTAATATCACGCGACCATGGGCAAAAGGCTGGATGGAGGGTGTAAAGACGAGCATGCAAAACCCGTTATTGCTTGGAGTGGCATACGAGTTGGGAGATTACCAGACGTTCAACGCCATGGCGATGAAGATCGCGACTGAATGCCATTTGGATCATGAGGAGGACTTGGTGTTTGGGTTTGCGGGGGAGAACAGGGAGAGTTACACATACAAGCTCAAGAATTTGGACTGCTTAATACCGGATGGACTGCTTGGTAATTATGTCACACCTGATAAAAGAGCCAGAAGCTGATTTTATGCGCAGACGACGCCGCATCAATACGAAAGACTCTGCTGATCGCCATGTTGGACCCGTATCTCAACCTCTACGGCGCTCTGAAAGGTGGCGACCGATGCATGTCATCGCCAGGAGATCCATCCGGCGGGAAGAGATGCGACAGCTTGCTCTTGGGTTCTCTCATCAAATCCTTCGCTACGCAGAATCTGGACCTCACAGCAAATGACCCCGTCAAGGCATACCGCGGGAGCGCGTCGCACCTTCAGTCGGTGATGCTGAAGCTGGAGCTGTACACAATCCACTCAGGCTACGCTCACCCGACTACTTCGTCATTCAGCTTTGGGCAGACCGCGCCTTCCAGATTCGGATTTAGCATGAGCGCATGCGAGCACGTCCTGCAGTCTGGGCTGCGGGAAGGAGTTGAGAGGTCGTTGATGCTGCGAGGCAATATGTCGTTTGCGCAGCCTAAGCATAAGGAGTATTTGACGAAACAGGCAAGTAAGACGGGCTTACCAAAGTCATGAGGGTATAAAACATTGGATTTGACAGCCCTGTCTATGGGAAGGCTCGGCGTTGGAAGATTTGCGTGGACACCTCGAGTTGCGAGTCCCGATTAACTCCTTCTGAGACCTCCCTCCTGTCTTCTTCTGCATTGGAAGGAGAGGCTCTTGCCTACTTTTCTCTCTTCTCTAGGCTAGATTCTTTTATAAATAGACGCCTCTCTATGCGCCTACCAGATTCAACTCAGAATGTTCCACACTTTCTACAGGCTCTACAGCAAAAGCAACCGTAATTCAATTTACCGCAGCACAGCCTCATTATTTACAACCTTATCAACTGCAACCTTGACCTTCAACACCAACTGCGGAGACACTTTTCATCAATCGTCTCTTGCTCATCATCATGGGTGACTCGGAGAATTCAATGAGTGAGCCTGACAAAAAGCGACCCAAGCTGGAAACAACAGGGCCGACCACGCCTGTCGTTCTTGAGGAGTTTGGAGATTTGCAACTCAGAGTTGGATCCGATCATACTGACCAGCCCACCATCTTCCTCGTCTGCTCCAGGACGGTAGCAAGATCGTCGCCGGTGCTGAAGAGAATGCTCTATGGGGGTTTCGCGGAGTCCTTAAGCGCCCAGACAAAGAAGGAGAACTGGGTGGTCGACTTACCCGACGACAGACCTGACTCTTTCAAGATCTTTCTCCATGTCATACATGGCCACTTCGGCCAAGTTCCGTCAAGAATCGCAATTGACAACTTGTACCTACTCCTGGTACTGCTTGACAAGTATGACAGCATCGGCCTTATTCGCCCATGGGCAAAGCCCTGGCTCAAAGATATCAAGACATCGGAAAGCTTGCAATTGGCATTGTACATCGCATGGAATCTTGGCCACAAGGAGACTTTCCAATCAAAGATGACGAAAATCATCCACGAATCCTTCATCGACGAGCAAGGTAGCCTGTGGTATGAACAGAATTGCCGATCGAAGGAAACCGGTGCATGGGGCATATACAACATCAAGCTCGCAGCTGATCTGGACAATTGGGGCCCCTCAGACGCTCTAGGTGAGCGGAATCTCTCGTGGTAAATTGCAGATCAATCATACTAATTTGGAACACAGACACCATCCGTGAAATGCGCCACAAGTTGGTGAGCATTCAGTTCGAGCCGTACATTCAACTCTACAAATCCCTCATCTCCGAGCAGGGACTATGCCGCTACCGAGCTAGAGTGAAGCCCTATCTCCTGGAAGCCGGAATGAGATGTGACTCAGTAGCTCTGGGATCTATGATCAGGGAGTGCTTGCTGCAGGGCATTGATATCATGGCTCAAGACCCAGTGGAAGCTTACCGCGGGACTGTGCGTCAACTGGAGGACAAGCTCGCTGCATTGAAGATCTTCGTCGGAGAGAGCAACGACAAAACTGAGCATAGCATCTGCAGGAGAAATCTTACGAAATACCGGGACAACATTTCCGCAGACAACGAACGGAGGACAGCAGAGGCGCTCGTGCTGAAACCTCAATACCAAGCCCGGATGGAAGGGCAGGCGAAGAAGACAGGCATTTGCGATGCTCGTTGAATGCAACATCCTTGCGCGGAATATCTCATTCATGGTTACCAGTCAATCAGGGTGAACATGATCGGCGAAGACGCAGCGGAAGCGTATCGGGAAATTGCGAAACGACTGAGAATCCATTCAGGAAAAGGGGAAATGTTTCCGCGAGGTTACGATGAGGGACTTTGCCACAGGGTCCGCGAGCAACGCATTCAATTGACGAGCAACTTGACCTTCGAGGGCAAAATGCTTTGGGGGCAGAAGGAAATAAACATTTTCTGCAAAACGAAGGCGGAACATTGGATTCGTTTGGAGGCCCCAGCCCAGACAGCTGGATTTGACTACCCTTCGTAAGGGTCTCGCGAGGAGGACATAGGGAAGATTGGCGTTATATTGGGATTCCAACTTCTCAACTTGCTTCTGCGGTCTGATTTGAAGAGACAGAGCATTTGGTTGTGCATGGCAAAGGCGGATCAAACTCTTTCAGGCCGGAGAACACATGGATTCAGCAGCGTAGATAGCGCCACGAAAATCTAAAAGACAATTACCACTAATATGGAATCCTGGTGCTGATTTCACTGGCCATTTGGAAGTTTTTGACTACACGTCATGTCAACTTCTACTCCTTTGCTGTGGGAAGCTCCTTCCATCTGACCTCTCCGTACCAAATCTTTTCTGGCAGGAGCCTGCCTCCTTGTAAGGTAGGCACGCTCCTGCCCTTCTGATGCCTCGCACGCTTTCTCTTTCGGGTTCTTCCTTCCGAATCTTTGAAGGGGGAGGTCGCTTTCCCTCCTTCCCTACCACAAAATCTCCCACCTTCACACCCGAAAGACGCCAACGACGAAAGAACAACAACTTCGCCATGGACGACAACCGGCGACGCCGACCAGTGGTGATAGTAGATGACGACGAGCCGGAGGCCAAGCGCATTCGCTTCGACAAGGCAGTCATGCTAACGCCGACGCCGACCACGATTTTCGACAGCAAGGGCGACTTGCACCTTGTGGTTGGCAGCGACGTCCGTGACGGCGACCCATCAACCTTCCTCGTCTGCTCCAAGACCCTCGCACGCGCGTCGCCAGTCTTTGACAGGATGCTCTTCGGTCCCTTTGCCGAGTCCCGTCCGTCTTCCGAGTCGTCGAAGCAAGAGCCCGCCTGGGTCGTGCACCTCCCCGAAGACGATCCTGACCATATGGAGGCGGTGTTGAACATCCTGCATTTCAACTTCAAGGATATTCCTCGGCGCTTCACACCTCCTATCTTCTCCGGCATGATAGTAATTGCAGACAAGTACGACTGCATCGGAATCTTCAAGCTATGGGTTACGTCCTGCATGCCTCATGCCCTCTTCGGTCACAGAATTTCCCCCAAATTCGCCCTCCATATTGCATGGCAGCTTGGGGACATCCGCAAATTCAAGATAGCTATGGCGGTCATAGTTGATCAATCTTTCATCTCCGGGGATGACCGGATCTCCATTGTGCCGAAGGCTTGGAACGAGGATGAAGAGGCGTCTGAGGCGGGACCACAAGACCTTTGCAAGTATCTGGGCGAATTGGTTCCTGAGGAAATTATTGGTGGGTACCATCACTGCTCTACACTAGGATTGCTGGCGTCGATGTTATAAAAATGTCGCTGTCGCCATCAAAGTCGCTAGATATTTGTTATGCTAATTCTTTATTTCGAGCAGACCAAATCAGGGACCAACGCGCCAAGCTCATCAATGCTGCTATGGAGCCCTTCATCATGCTGCATGAAGACCTCGCAAACAGCCGGCAGCGTTGTCCCATACCCGCCCACCAAGAAGAGTGTGACAAAATGCTACTTGGGTCTCTGATCAGAAGCTTCCGCAAGACAGTCATAGAAGAGGCTACAAGAGACGCAGCCCGGCGTTACCGTGGCACCATTCTTGATCTCCAGAAAAGCCTTGACAGCGTGGAACTTCGGGGAAGAAGTCTCCTGGGTACGAGTCACCACGAAGACTTCGTCGCATGGATGTTGAAGAGAGACTAGCGAAGGGACGAGGATTGCGAGAGGTGGAGAAGAGAGACACAGGCGGCACCATCGTCCTTCTTCCCGGGCAAGAGGAACGTCTGGGCCGGCAGGCAGTTAAGTCGGGGTTGAAGTAAATGCGTACAGATCTGCCCCTCCAGGCGTTAAAAAGCTTAGTTATTTCAGGGAGATTCGAGCTACACACCCAATACACTTAGTCGTCGTTGCTATTGCTGTCTGCCGGTGAATCAGTTTGTCTCGGCCGATAGGAATTTCGGCCGAAAGTGCTGCGCCAAACCCGTTGAGCTCGAACATTACATAAGCAGAGCTGCTCATTACTCGTACCGTCTCCAAGGGTAACTGACAAGCCATGTTTACATCTCTCTCTCTCTTTGGGTTCTCAACCTCGACACCAATTCGGCGGCAATGGCAAGTCATCGCGTCAAAAGAACGAAGCTTGACGACATCGGCGTCGACCCGCAGACAGTCATCGTGGAGGAGGATGGTGACCTGCATCTGGATGTGGGCCGCGAGGGGGGCGAGCCCACTACCTACGTCGTCTGTTCCAGGGCCCTTGCTCGCCACTCGCCCGTGTTCAAGGCAATGCTCTTCGGGGACTTTGCGGAGGCTCGGCCCACAGAAGGAAGCCAATGGATAGTTGAGGTATCAGAGGACAACCGCGAGATGTTCCCAATTTTTCTCAACATCGTTCACGGCTGTTTCAAAGATGTGCCGACGAAGCTTCATATCCAAGAACTGTGCGCGTTGGTCGTCATCGTTGAAAAGTACGACGCTTTGCCCATCATACGACCCTGGGTGAAGGAATGGATGGATCAAGCAGCCGAATGGTCCGACATTGGATATTCCTCTCACCTGGTGTGTCTTGCTTGGGTTACCGGACATCGTGCTATTTTCGAGAACAACGTGCGAAACGTGATCTACACCTGTTACGGTAGTGAACAGGAGCTGTTTCACGACTTTCAATTCTTCGACCACGAGGCCTTGCACCCGCCGGGGCTGTTTGGTGAGTACCACCTTCAAGTTCAAGTCCCCTCAGGAACAATTATGTTCTGACTAGTAATTTATAGAGTATCTAGCGAAACTCAGAGAAGATGTCCTCCAGGCTATCATGAGACCTTTTCTTGATCTTTACTATCAACTCACGGTCGACGAGAGGTCCACAGAGGCTCCGGTTGCTCGAACCTGCGTTCACCCGGATGAAGCCGAGCAGTTCGACTGCGAGAGCTTATTGCTAGGTTCCTTAATGATCAGCTTTACTCGCAGGGGCCTGGATATTACGCAGAAGGAGTTCAAGTACAACGAAGACCTGAAGGGTCTCAAGAAAGAAATTGACAATATGCGAATTCAGACCGACTGCAGTCACGATGAATGCGCGTCTCTTGTTTTGCAATATATAGATAAAGGTCGTCTGGAAGAGGAACGGTTGATTACTGAGGCTGTTTTCGTACGACTGGAACATTTGGAACACCTTCAGAAGCAGGCGAAGAAGACTGGTCTGGACGAACATAATCAGGCTGGTAGTGTCAAGCACCGATATCTCACACCAGAAGCCTGATGAGAGACGCGAATACCAAGCAGTCACTATGTTCTTGGTCATTATTTCGGTCAACTATTGCATGGTGCGACGGCAGGTTAAGCAGCGACGGACAAATTCAGGGTTTGAACCTTAATGGATGACAGAAGCAAGCTCAACTTGCTCAAGTGATGAAATGGCTTCTTGCCACACCTTCATCTCAGGGAAAGTTTGATTAGACATTGAAAGCTTGTGTCGAAATTTGTAGCTACTTTCGCAATTCAATGGCAAAAATACCCAGATTCTATATCAAGGGATCCAAGTAATGCTCTGAAGACACGTGTAATGCGTGAAACTGCCCCACATAAAGTGTCGCGCAGCGACTCAGACTCATCAGGTGCTTTTTTTTCTACTCAAACCTTGAACTTCGCAACCAGCAGACGCACCTCCAGCAACCACATCATTCGCTCACCGACGCTCAATTGGCTAGGAAAAAAAAACCGTATTACAATGGGATCTACGCCGGCTTCTCAGAGCCTGCCATTGACAGCAGAAAATGGAGTTTATGACAGCGATGGCGACTTGATGCTCCACGTCGGCCCAGAAATGGCACGATTCAGGGTGTGCTCCAAAACACTCGCACGATCATCTTCGGTCTTCAAAAGGATGCTGTATGGAAATTTCGCCGAATCAAAACCTTCAGACGGCGCAAAATGGATCGTTAGGCTGCCAGAGGATGGGGCCAGGGCGATGGCAATATTTCTGAGCATCATCCACGGAAAATTCCACGTCACACCGGAAACACTGTCCGTCCGAGACCTTTACGATCTTCTAACGCTCACCGAGAAGTACGATGCCACCGCCCTTCTTAGACCTTATGCACATCGATGGATCGATGCTGTCGGGTCCCAAACGGATGATCCGTATCTTTTGTGTGTGGCGTGGGAACTGGGTCACATTGAGCTCTTCGAGAAGATGATGGTCACCATCACTCGAGACTGTACCATTCATGAAGATGGCACGCTTCTATATGGAAGGCCGACGAATGAGCTTTCAAGCTGTATATCAGATGCGACTGCGTGTCTGGACCCAGACAAGAAGCTAGAGCTGCCTTGCTCGTTTGATGCGAATTCCATGTCTCAGCGTGCCACACACCTGGATAACTCCTGGACCTTCCCAATGGACTCGATCCTCCATCTGCAGCCCGACAACATGATGGGTAAGCCGGACTGAAGCTTCGTCCATGATGGCCTTGGGACGCTAACAAAAGGTGAATCAGAGACAATCAAGAAGAACCGTATGGCGTTAGTCCAGGAATACCTGAAGCCCTATCTAATACTCTACGACTCTCTGGCCAGGGGCAGATGCACTGTAGATTTGGGCCGTCGAGAACACTTGACTTCAATTGAGGAGCACTCGGCATGCGACGCCATGGCCTTCGGGTCTCTTTTCAAAGCCTTCCAAAGCCTCGGTCACAACATCACGTTACCGGGCATTGCACAACGGTATAACGGGAGTTTCACAGACCTGTTCTGTGTTCTACCTCGGATCAAAATCTTATCACACCATTTCGATTGCTTGAAAAGCTTCGCTACTGGATTGAGAGAAGGAGATCACAGAGCAGGGGAGATATGCAAAAGATTGGAGTTCATTACACCGAGCCAACTTCGTTATCTCAATAAGCAGGCTGTGAAGATGGGCTTTCCGACAAGGAATTCTGAAACAAAAGCGGAAGATGAGGTGATGGGCTTTCTGACGAGAAATGCTGATAGAAAAGCGGAAGAACAAGCGTTTTGGAGGCAGGCGAGGCGCGTGGATCAACGCGCAGTGCTCTTGGGGGCCTAGGCAAGGACATTAGTGGCATTCTTCTTGGTGGTAAGCGTTGGGATGGTCATTCAGAAACACCAAGTACACATGCTTGAACGTAGTCGCAGCTTGGAAAGATTCAGAAGTCGTTTAGATTCTAGATAGAACTACAATGTCTGGGTAGAAGATAGACTATTGGGTTTCTAGTAAGAATGTCTCGCCAGAATGAATTACATCAAAGGAATGTCTTGAAGTGGTCGTTCATGGCTGTCTCAATGTCTGGGACGGTGTATTCATCAGAGGCATGGAAGCAGACCGAAGATGAGATATGACGTTTATCTGGGACTCTGGTTTTGCCTAAAATACTTCATATACTACTGGACTCAGCCATGTTGTTCAAACACCCATCATCCGAACTTGACTTTCCGGAGTTCAACATGGTCGACCACGACGCGACTGCAAAGATGACGACGACACCCACTGAAGCCATAGTCTACGACAAAGATGGCGACCTCACTTTCTGCGTGGGATTCACGGAGACATTCTACCAAGTCTGTCCACAAAGCCTCCGTCGCTCATCCCCGGTCTTTGGCAAGATGCTCTTTGGCAAGTTCGCGGCGTCTCGCCCTACTGTTGGTCAATGGGTGGTCGACTTGCCTGATGATGACAATGAAGCGATGGAAATCTTCCTTGGGATGGTCCATTCACGCTTTGAAATGGTTCCGATCACCTTATCGATTGCGAAGTTGTACGCACTGCTCACGCTTACCAACAAATACGACGCCACTGCCCTTGTACGACCTTGGGCTCGCTCATGGATCGACGCGATGAAGAAGGGCGAAACTTGGGATTATCGGCTGCTGGGAATCGCGTGGGAAATGGGAGACGACTACTTGTTTCGCGAGATGGTGTGGTTAATGGTGTGGAACTCAGTCGTTGGCTCTGATGGTTGGTTGCGGTTTGGCTCAAAGCAACAATTACTCAGCGTGGACATGCCCATCGAACCAGGCAATGACGTTGGAATCGATCCATACTCACTCGAGCACTTCATCTATCTAAGGCCTACCGGAACCATTGGTACGTCAGTGAGAACTTCGTGTGAAAGTTGGTAACTGACCGTGTCAATCGCAGAAACTATTGAGGCGGCACGCAAATCCATGGTTGAAGCCGCGTTGAAGCCGTTGGCAAGGCCGGAATCGCGTTCGATGTTTATTATGTTTCTGGGGTGGGTTACACGACCAAGGAGAGATCATGACGTGCGGTTCCACTGTACTTGTACGGCACGGGGATCGCTGTGCGACATTCTTGCTGATAAGGGTTTGTCCCCCAAAGCGATTTCTCGAGGGGACACGTTCCAAGGCAGTTTGTGGGACCTCCGTGACATTCCGAAGTCGCGCGAGATTTGGGGGCCGCAAGCAGCATGTGAGGAATTTATTGCCGACAGACTGAGGGAGGGGCAACAGGAGTCGAGTAGGGCCTGGGCGAACTTCATTCATCTTGTGATACGAGAGGATCAAATAACTGCAATGAAGAAACAGGCACAGAAGACAGGTATCTGGCCTACCTACGATAAGTGAGGGGGAGATCATAGCAGGGGTTGAGGCGAATCAAGGTCAATTTAAACATATCACTCCCTAATACAAAGATGATATGTGAGTAAGTATTATTCAGCGATTATGTGCTCGTGTCGTAGATATCTTTATAACCCCACAACTGTTCTAAACCAAAGTTTAAGAGAAGTAGACATGGTCAGACAAAGACTATTGTCTATAGACAATCAATGTTTTCAATCCTCCTCTTTCTACTGTCTAGGAAGTTTTCTGAGGTAGTCGCAATTAAGCGCTGGCACCGTTGAAGGAAACCAGGTTGGGGCTGCCGCTCAGGGTACCGGTAACGCGGCCGGTGGTGCCGAGGGCCTTGATGCGGTTGGTGACGGCAGCGGGGGTGGAGAGACCCTCAAGAGCCTGGAGGTAGACGGCGAGACCAGCAAGGTGGGGGGCAGCCATGGAGGTACCGCTGAGGGAGGCAGTGGCAGAGTTGCCGCCGATGTAGGAGGACAGGATGGAGACACCAGGTCCGAAGATGTCAACGCCGGGGCCGTAGTTGGTGAAGGTGGCCGGGCGCCAGCTGGAGTCGATAGCAGCGACAGTGAGCGCGTTGGGAGCGTTGGCGGGGGACTGGCTGGAGACGGGGAGGGGTTGGCCGGTCACTTCGTCACCGTTGCCGGCAGCAACGACGGAGAGGACGCCCTGGTTGTAGGCGGCGTTGATAGCGGTGGTCCAGGTGGTGGTGGCCTCGCCGCCAAGGGACATGTTGATGACGGAGCGAGATGCACGGGACTTGGAGACGATGTCGTTCACAGCCCAGTTGAAGCCAGCGAGAATGGCGGAGGTGGTGGACTGGCGGCCCTCGAAGACCTTGACGGAGATGATGTTGGTCTGGCTGGTGTTAGTGGATGGGTCAAGGAAGAGGTGGGGGTTGCCCTCAGTTGCGGGAGCGGGATGTCCCGGCTGATGAAACTGATGTGGGCTTGAGGCTCAACTCACCTGCTTAGCAACACCGTAGGTAGAGCCACCGATGGTACCGGCGACGTGGGTGCCGTGGCCGATGGAGTCAACGTGGGCGGAGGAGAAGACGTTGTAGCCGAGAGTGGCACGGCCGCCGAACTGGCTGTGGGTGGACAGGACACCAGAGTCGACGACGTAGGCGTAGGTGTTGGCACCGGCGGAGGTGTCGTAGACGTACTGGGTAGAGCCAGAGGTGCGGTGGGAGATGGTGCCGAGACCCCAGGTGGCGCCAGACTGGGTAGTCAGGGCGCGCTTGGGGTTGACCTCCTCAACGACGAAGTCGGAGAGGTACATGTAGTAGTCGGGCTCGACCAGGGCGACCTATGATGATGATGTCAGTCTGCTGCTCGTCCAGGTTGAGACGATTGGCGAGAAGGCTTACCTCGGGGCTCTTCTTGATCTCCTCAATGGTGGCCTCATCGAACTCGCCAGAGTAAGCGTTCCAGTTGCTGATGTTGAACTTGTTCTCAACACCGACGGTGTCACGCTTGCCAAGGGAGCGGCGGTGGACATCGGCAACCCAGGTCAAGTGGGAGTCGACGTTGGCAGCGGCGTCCTCCTTGAGGGTGACGATGTACTTGCCGGGGGCGAACTTGGGCTCATCGCGCTTGATAGCGGCGGGAGCGGCAAGGACGACGGGGAGCAGGGCTCCGACGGCGAGGGCGAGGC